GACAGAGGAGGACACAACGGACTGTTTCGCTGTTGGAGGCTGGTTATTTCATGCTCATATAAAATGGTCTGCATTTAAATAAGGGCTACAGGTCATTCTGCACCACCAAAACTGACTGCAAAGCATTACACAGAACCTGCTCAGTATTTGCTGAAAAGAAGAGCTTAACCCTTCAGGTGTCTAACCCTGCTAGCAGAAATTAAATGAACTCAAGAAATGGATTTAGGGAACTGAGGTATCTATTGGCAAAACAACAAGACCCTGCTAACTGAAGAAAGGCAGCTCATCATGAGTATCTCAGTGGGTAATAAATATATGCTCCTTTCTCCCACACAAAATTATAATGCTGGGGCTATTACTTCCGTGAGTAGCTAGACAAAAACCTTTTTACCTCCTATCTCCTTAGTAAGACAGATTACGAAGTCAGTAGCCTTTATTTTATTTTGCAACCCAGACACTGAGTAATTTATTCTGACAGTGCTAGTTTCTGGTCAAAGATCAGTGAACTCTCAAAAGCAGACTAACAACAATCATGCATGTCCCCTGTCTTCTGGGGTCAATGAAAGGCTTTCTCTACTTCTATAATTTACATGTGCCAAGTCCTTAATTAGGGCTTTGGACAAAGTGCTATCACAGAAGCCACTAGTGACACTACAAGCAAGTTCTGATCCTGTGGTAAGAACTCTCAACATCTGTTTCCAAAGATAAAAATATCAAGTTGTTGTCATGCGTTGTCAAGCATTTCTTCTCCCCTACCTCAGAAGCAGTAGTAAACAGAGTTCACTGTACAACTGATACCTAACTCTGCTTTATGCTAAATTGCTCTGTGGCAAACGTGTTGTATAAAGAGATAAAAACATACATATGAGTAGAAAAGTTCAAGAGACTGTAAGATAATATCAGGATTCAAACAACTATCCTAACCTGGGTCACGTTTTTATTGATGTAATTTGCTGTGTTTTTCTTAATAGAGCCACAAATACAGGGGAATTGTAAAAACAGATCAAAGGATTGATTCTGCAAGTTCAAAAGGAAAGTGCCTCCTGTGTGCAAGGGGCAGAATTAGAGACCATATAACAATCCTTGTTTGAAAATTCAGCAAGTTGGAGATAAGAAAGAAAAACTGACATCTTGACAGAGCAGATCAGGAGATTCAGCTGGGGGATCTACACATAGACAAAAAAAAAACAGGCAGCACACAGTTTGAGTCTAACATGGCAAAGAGGAGATGTGGAAGATGTAATGAGAGAAGAGATGAGATCGAAGCAGTCAACTGAAGGACTCTCTGAGTAGAGATGAGCAAGGAAGACTGATTATGCTAGATGCTGCAGTTATCAAGAATAATTTGACTGAAGCCCCAGTTTTAGATATGCAACAGGTAAAGCAAAAAATTTAATACTGTATTTCTTTTCAGAAACTGTGTGATGCAGCCTGAGAAAAATGACCTAGAATGGGGTGTAAACTGCAGATGATGTCAATTTGTAAAAAAAAAAAAAAAAAAAAAAAAGATAGAAATTGATAGAAATTGATAGAAATCAATAAGGTCTTATGAGGAGCTATAAGCCCTGGAAGAAAGAAATGAAAATTTTTAGTCAGTATGGTTGGTGACTAACTCACAAGAGTCACAAAGCATCGCCCTGTGTGGTGTGCGAGACAGGTGGGGTTGGACTCTGAGAAACAACCTCTCTCTCTCTCTTCTTCCACACACTCACATCAAGAATTTGGGTTTAACCTTTAACAGCATTTTCGTAACAGGAGAGAACCAATCTCCTTTTGAGGTGCTCAAATAAAGTGCTGTCGGAATTATTTAGGTTGGAAAAGACCTTTACGATCATCAAGTCCAGCCATTAACCTAACACTGCCAAGTCCTACTGAATCATGTCCCTGAGTGACACATACACTGTTAGATATACAGAGGTACTAACAGATAACTTACGATGCATCATAACATATGATGAACGTCACAGAGAAGGTTGCATTTCACAGAAAAAAACCTTAAGGTACCATCAGTTCTCTACAAACAACTGCCTCACAAGCAGTGGTTTAGAACGGGGCCTCTGATGGCTAAGGGGATTTGAAACAAACACAAGAAGCCTCAGCCTTCTGAGCTTATGGTTATGCCTGCAAAGCACAAAAAGCTCCAAACTAGCTCTGAGCAGGCCAGTACATCTGTGCAATGTGGCACAAAGACAATTATGCAGATCTCAGAATTATCATAGCTGTATCAGCGCAGTGCTGAGCCCAAGCTGAGGATCTCCACCTCTCAGCTAAACTGATAGGCTTGGGCACAGCTCAGGATTTATCTATATTGCTTCTGGAGCTGGAACTAGCTCAGTCACTGCTTACACACTATAAATGTCCTTCAGTTTAAGAGCTATCACCTCCAAGAAGCCAACAGGAATGATAAAACATAACCACTGTAGCTTAACAACTCCAAGTTCCAAAAGAAAGTTCAATCCCTTTGCCCAGTGTTCGCATCTCATTGAAGTGCTTTCAGGTTAGAGGTTTGTAAACAGGTATACATCAGCGAGTATCTCGATCCATCACATTTGCTCAGCGGTGTAACTACTTCTGCCTAATTTTATAGGACTAGTATTGATCATCGCTATGGCAGAATCTACCACTGATAGCAAAACAGCAGTTTCCTCTCTTATTTCCTAACTAATGCAACAATCTTCAAGTTCCAAAGGTCAGAAAAGAGATGGTTAAAGATAGCTGGACTCCATAATTCTGATAAATCTTTCTCCTGTCTGCTCAAGCTTAAAAGGCCACACACCCTCAAACTGTGAATCTCCACATTTCAAGCTATTACTATTTTGGCATTTTTGGACAAAAAAAATGGTTTAAATAGAGAACGTTCTAAGGATTTCTCCCCAGGTAATCAGCAATAATCTTGCTAATGACAAGCACAAAAGAAGACTGAAAATCACTTTCCTGTTGCTGAATTTGCTGTTCAGTATTATCAAGAGCAGAAGATGATACAGAAGATGTCTTCCAAGCCAGCTAGTCATCTGCCAGTCCTCTCTAAAAAAGGTCCTCATGCTCACTAGCAGAAACATTGCCATAATAGCAAGCCCTCTTAAAGTTCCAGCTGCCAGAAAATATTTTCATTGAAAACTCTCAAACTGCTTTGACACTGGCCATGAGATGTCACAGAGGTGTTCAGCTATGAGGAAGAGATCACTCCAGATGGAACAGCTCTGATTCAACACTTTCACAGCAAAGCAAGATCACTTTTTGGAGAGCTTTTTCAACCTTCTTCTGCTCAAATTTCTATGACCTGATAAAGGACCACTGCTGTCCCAATAAGGAAGTTGGCTTCAATGCCCGTGACACTTAAATAGCAACGCACTTGCTTGCAAGGGGTAGCCAAAAGTCTACCTCAATAAGGCTTACAGACTCACGAGTATAAAGAGAACTTAAAACTGCACAGCCACAGCTTGTGAGCAGCCTTCCAGGACAGCCCTGTTCTAAGACACTTCAGAGCTTGATGTGGAGGGTAGATGAAGATTATTGAGAAGCCTTCACCTTAAGGTAACAGTTGCATCTGCCGTGCACTACAAGGAAATGCGTGTGTGCTTAGGGGAGGCATGCAAACTTGGGGCTGCTACTACACCTGAAACTCGATCAGTTTGCAGTCACTGGTGTCCTGCAGTAGTGTGTTTTCCACATCAGTGCACCACAAGGACTCTCGTTCTTCCCCCTCCCAAAAGCCACAAGAATTTGTTCTTCACTACATCCGAACAGATCAAAATTTGACCCAAGTACTTTGCACCTACTCTATACTAGAGCATAATTACAGCATGACAGGCTCGAGGCAGATAGCAGTGTGTATATATACACGCACACTATTCTATAGCATAGAACAGAAGACACTTAAGTCACATTTCCTCATAATGCATGGCAGACACATTGACTGTTACTATGATGGATACAAATAACTAATCTACCAACAATCAGAATATCATCACAATTCTTTTTAGTGGTGGCAGAACGAATATATTAAATTAGAGCAACCAGATACTGAGCTTTCAGATGACTACACATTTCCTCTCATTGTTTCCCGAATGAGGTTTAACGAGAAAGACGCAAATTAGAAGTCAGAAAATGAAGCTGAATTTTTAGTTGTGTTAACTAACCTGCTCTGAGACTTTCACACATTGCTGGTTTTATATTTGTAAAGCACTTTCATGCTGTAAAGTGCTCACCAAATATAAGGTCCAACAGAGGAGTTCGTTAACCACATATATTAAAGACTAGACTCTCAAAAAGAATGTCTCCTGAGAGGCTGTTCCTAGTCAACTAGTATTTCTATCATTTTTACCAGCAGGCTTACCCCAAATGAACAGCAAATTTCTCCCTCTTCAGCAAAAGGCTAATGTGGAATAGTATTTGTGGTAAGCAATATCGCTTAACTGAGGTGTATGTAGGACTTGGGTGGCACAGTTAAAATCCTTATTTCTACTTCACTCTACTGCTAAAATTCATATGGATTTACTGATGCTAAAGGAAGGTAGCAGGGGCTTGTAGTTTTGCGTTAGCACTGTTTGGTGCAGTACCCACTCCTGGCCATACAGGAGGAGACCAGCTGCCAGCGCTCCTATTCGCAGGGTATCTCCTGCGATACTCTCAGTTCAGTTTTGTTCAGGAACGGTAAGTATCCCGCACAGAAAGGTCTTATCTCAGTTGTGTGTGTATCTCAGGACAGAGTAAATTCTTTCACCAGCTTCACTTACCAAGCCTCTTAGAGGAGTCTCTTGACACACACGAGGTTTTCACGAACTTGACCTTCTGAGGACCTCATGAGCAAGACCAACCCAAGGCACTGGGTCTTTTTGGCCCAAGATACTCGCTTAGTGCCACTTAACTGGCTGTCCTCATTTTGTTGCCATTGCTGCCAGCTACACTTCAAGTATTAATCATACATCACAGCAGCCTGTTAGATCAAGACAGAAACCCAAGTGATCTCGCCCGTTCAAACAAGAAACAGTGGTTCTTACCTGAATCTCCTCAGTTTCATCCACCAGGAGGAAACTCACAACTTTCTCTGTCATCTTCCTTCTCTTGGTCTCCTCATCCATCCCTTTCTCCTCCTCCTGCTCTGGGGCTTTGCCAGCATGGTACACGGTGACGGGGTGCTTCCTCCTGTTCCCCCCAGCATGCGTTCTCTTCTGACACTCCAGGCAGAGGTTGATTTTGCACACCTGGCACCTCACCGCTGCTATCTGCCTCGAGCCTGTCATGCTGGCGTGCATTATGTTCCCATTGGCACCTTTGCAGGAGTCACAGTATGGGACATGGCCGGGTCTTATACGGGTCCGTTCGTGGTTCCGTAATCTTTCCGGCTGATGCAGCTCTTCTTCGCAACGCTGGCACTGTAGGCTCCTGCACTCGTCACACTCAAAGATTGCTTCATCTGTCCCACTGCAAACATAGCTCTCCTGGCACAGGTGCGTCGTGTTCTGTCCTTTCTCTGCAGTTTGTGTGTGCGCGCTCATCTTCGGATTTCTTTAAAGCAATGTTTTTCCCTCCTGTTTCTGTTTTGAACAGTGATATAAGTCAGTTGCAACTTTAGTATTTTCACAGGGGAAAGAAACACTACAGGAATGCTGTCCGAAATTAATTTTAAATATTCAGGAGACGTTCCTGCAAGATTCATACACCAACCTGTCTCCCAGGAAGAGTCTTGCTTGAAGTTTTCTTACTGCAAAATAAACACTGTGGCTGGTTTCACATATTGTTATACCCAAACGCAGGTACGAATTCTCCCTCTGCTTGGCTGTATAGTGTCTTCCCAGCGATGAGAAAAACAAACCGGCAGCCTGGTGTGCTCCAGCACAGGGCAAGTGTCTCCCCGAAGCAGGGACCGGAGGGAGGCAGCTGGCGACACAGAGGCCAAAAGGCATTAGAAGCGCACAAGTGCCTACACACGCACATAAACACACACATACACACACACACACAGAGAACTGTGTCAACACTAGAAAATTCTCTGCTTTCGCTCCCCGGCGAAGCTCCTCCTTCAGAGTTCACAGTATTTACTTGCTGGGGATTTCCTGATGCGCTTCGCCAGATAAACAAAAAGAAACCCGCTCTCTTTGTGCGCTTCTGCC